ATTTCACAATAATGCAAGAAGGCTCTCTGTGAATTCAGTATATTTTGAAATGATCATTCTCATCGTTTCTAATTTTATATTATCACGTCACTCTTACATTCAGACAAGCAAAGACTAAAAAGGTGAGTTTTTTCTGATATCGGGCTCCTTTTAGGTCTTTCATGATCAAACTTACCTGTCACTTTTTTTATACAAAAGTTGGTGCTCTGACACACACAACAGCCGGTAAATGGTAACTGTCTCCTTTTTAGAGACCTACACAGCTGGCAGAGGCGTAATTTACAGGTTTAATAGCCAGGAGACTTTGTCTCGTGTCCCACAGGCACCCTTTGTTTTCCACTTTCCTTGCTTTTTGTTGTGGTTAATTACAGAATAATGCTGACATAAATGGAAAAAATATGCAATTAACTTTTGGTTTTCAAAATAATAGATATTTTTCAGGGTAACAAGTTAAAATGATTTGATTTTGTTGTTATTCTTCCTCGTGGATCATAGAAGGAACGGTGTGAACAGGTTTTAGACTGGGATTTGGCAGGTGGGGGTACATTAACAGTCTGTACAGACTGTGATCAGCTGTTCTGTGATGCTACACCCAAACTCAATGCTCTTTGTGGATATAACCAACTGAATTCAACAAGATATAAGCAGATGTTACAGAAGCTATATGGCTGATTTCCAGCCCGTAGAGACGAGTGAGCTCGTGCAGCAGTCTGGAGCCATCTTTCATTTTGTATATTTTGCTATGAAAACAGGAAATAGGTGTAGAGATTTACTGAAATGTGTGTAAACCTACACGGCAACACAGTGTAATAGGAAAACAGTTTTTAAAATGTTAACAAGTGTTAACAAGTTTTTTTTAATGCAGGTGTGTTTTTACTGCATTGGCAGTGTGTTAGGGACTATTGTCATGCTGAAAAATGAAGCTGTTGCCAATCAGACACTTTCCAGGTGGTACTGCATTGTCAAGTTACAAGGATTGGACTGAAAAAGGGTGAAAAAGTAGCTAAAGACCAACTTTGGAAGACCTTCAGAAATACTACAGATCAATCACTCAAAACAATATAAAAAAATCACAAAAAAGTTTGGCTTGTTGGAAAAGATCAAGAAATGAGGGGTGGCTCAAAAAGTTTGCACAAGACTGTATAAACTGTAGAGTTCAGAGACTGAATCTAATCAGCTTAAATACAGCTTGACGTCTGCTACCCTTAATGTAACCAGTCCAACATAGTGCATCACTGCAAACTTTACCACAATACCACAAACTAACACGTGTAGCGTGCGCTAAACAGTTTCCATGCAACCACTGAATAACAAAAAAATAGTAGAATAGAACTTCTGCAAGAAACTTCTATTTTTTTAATGAAAACAAAATTCAGCAGCACATGATTAATACATCCAGTATCTCAGTATTTAAATCTGGTACGGTCTCCATCAATCATGCAGGATTTACATTTCCCATTTATAAACTTTCACTTGCTGAGCAGTCCTCATTTCTGAAAATAATCTTGTATCTTACTCTTCCTTCCTCTCTTTCTTATATGCTTTTCCTTCTTTCAGTGTTGCACATTAATTTTTTCTCTCTCTCTAGGAAGTAAAGCATCGCTGTCTTTAGCTTACAGACACATTGCTGTGTGGAAAACTGCACAAAAACAGTTTATCGGCTGATATTTGTTGAGCTGTTTGAAAAGTCGCAAACTCCATTAATGCTCACTGCTCTGCTTCTTCTGCCACTAGTGAGATTCTTTGATACTGCAACCACAATCTTGCCTCTCCACTATGAAGGCATCACAGGGATAACACAAACCATGACTTTTACATGTAAGCGGTCCTGAGATGCCATTAATTTCATGCACTAGGTTGGTTATTAGCTATAATTAACCATGATTTGAAGGGATTCCCATTTTAAACCCTGCATAATACAGATGTGGGCATCTATAAGCACTGAGCCTGTTAAGTCATTAGTTGGCACGCAGTTTGAACACACTGTCTCTGTAATGACAGACGACTGACTATGTAAAACCTTTTTTGCTTCCACTCACCTGTTAGATTCAGAAACTAAAAACTAGAGTCAGGAAAAGGTCACAATTTAAAATTGGTCTCTTCACACCCCGCTTACTGACAAAAGATGAGCTAGTAGTGACCATACTCACCACAACTGATATAATCCAGCGTGTCGGGGCAGACGCTTAAGGACAGGTTGTGTAAACAAACCACACTAGCGGTTTTGACAAACGGGCACTAATTGCCCCAGGGGTGAGGATGAGATGTTTCGCATCACTTATAGATTAGTCAGATTTTGAAATCCCTGGACTTTAAGGGCTGAAATGGTTTTTCTTCCCGTGTTTAAATCTTTCTACACAGTCGAACCACGTCACATGTAAATCTGAGTTTAAGCATTAAACCCACAGGCGACAATACTAGGCAACACTTCTAAAGCTCGTCCTTTGTGCTTCTGGTTTCTCTGTCCTGTCTTGTTAGTGCACAACACCAGAGGAGTTGCTGTTAGGCTGCTTCCTGAGACTACAGCACTGTGTGTGTGCCAGAGACAATTATGTAAACCACATAAGAACAAGTGGCTCTCACTGTAATTTTATCAGACTTTTGTGAGGCAGTTCTTCTTATTTGGCTGCGAATTCAGTAAATAACTACCGAGGGACAGCAAGCTGAGGTTTGAAGGTCTGATTCACTCACCACTTTTCTCCAGATAATATCTAGCCTCCATGAGCATGCGTCCCTGCGGCTTCAGCTCCAACTGAGAGAAAAAGAAACGAAGAACAAAGGGAGACAGAAACACACAAAAAGAGATATTTTAGGAAAGAAATTCATGAGAAAATGACAAAATGAAAAGGGAAGGATGTGAATTCAGGAGGATGATGCATATACGTCATGCTCCTTAGAGGCAGTGACACATGCAGACAGTCTGGCAACAACACACACGCATAAAGAACGGGCTGAAGGAGCGTATTTGATTAGTTTGGTTTAAGAGATCATGCCGTGAAATGTTGTGTAGTGCCACTCACAACCGAGTCTGTCCAGGAAGTGATCTCTTGCTCTCTCTAACAAAAAAAAAAACTCAGCAGATTTCACCGAATGACCTGCATCTAATTAAAAGAACAGCTTAGCCCAAATCCATGGCCCCAAAACAATCAGCAAATCTTATGTTGGACAGTTTCTTGGAGGAACTATTTTCTTTCTAGTTAACTACAGAAGTACAAGACGTAGGGGCGCATCTACCCGTGAAAAAAAGCATCATGCTTGTGACAGCTGTGACGAGATGAAGACATTTATGAAGTCCTGCCTCGGCTGAGTTGTAATGTTAGTTCTTCACGCTTCCTTTGGTTGGCAGATGTAGTACTCAGCTAAACAAAAGAGTCTATTTGGATACAAGCCTGCGGGAAAATCAAGCAGCAACCTTGGGGAAAAAAGACACACGTATGTAAAAAGAACAAAAACAAAAAAAAACACCTAAGCGCTCCCTCTAATGGCCACTTGAGGCTCACTCCAAAAGTGAGCCAGTCCCCATATCATCTATTGATGGTTTCTTTCTTTATAAAAACTGCACAGATGGTGACTTCTTTTTTATAACTCAGTCATTTGGATGCTGGTAAATCTTAAACTTTGGGGTGCAGCATCTTTGAATGACAGGTGCGTGTCAACAGCATGGTGTTGCGTCCCAGGCCACACCTCAGCGAATTCAGGTTGATGCAATTGGGGAAATGAAATAAAACTATCTCACAAATAACATGGCTCCAGCAAGGTTTTGTTTGGTGAAAAATTATAATTCATATTAATCCCACTTAAGCGTCAATTACATGACCTCTCAGCAACCAAGTAGTGAAAAATTCAACCAGTTGTTGTGAGAGTTTGGCTGCTGTTGCTAGGTAAAATTGGTCACAGCAAGGTACATTTTGTGTTTACATTGGCCACTAGTAGATTGCAGCAGTGCCCAAAGTTTGGTGGCTTCTCTGTAAACTGTTGCAAAACTTTGAAGAGTGTGATGCAAACCAGAAACTGAGACCATTCACGTTCAAAGTAAAGCCTGCACCCCTTTGAACCATGTTGGTTTTTGCAATATGAAACAACTTTTACTTTGAAGGTGAACAGTCTTCATTTGGTTTTTTTTTTCAGGTTTCTCTACTACTCAGTGATTAGTTAGCAAGTGTTTGCAGACAAGTTGGTGTCGTCCATGCAGACTATGGATGACTGTGCCAGTCTGCTAGCAACTGAAACCCAAGGAGACTCTTTTCAACTGATTTCACCAAAAACATCAACTTCCAACAACCACATGCAAACTGGTCAGGAAATACACCTGTTTTCCTAACAACTGGAGGCTGCCCCTGAGTGGGTTACTGAATTGTTGCCACTAATGATGCCACTAATTATGTCACAATCATAATATGAGCCAGAAAGGTTAATAAAAATATAATAATATCTGTGGTAATTAGTTAAAAACACTGAAGTTGTGCTGGGTGTTGATTGTAAGACGATCTGTGTTTCAGTGTTACACAGTCTTATGTTAGATATTCTCATTAAACAAAGTTTCATATAATGAAGTCTTCCTGTTAGAGGTGCATGATGTCACAGAGATGGAATATCTCGTGCTATTCAAGTCTTCTCTTTGCAAGGAGCAATCAGAAAGTTGGTTTAAAGGAGGAGAAGTTAAAACTTCTAATCAAGGATGAATTAAGGTGCATCACCAAAACTCAGTATCAGATAAATTGGGATTGGTAAATGGTAAAGGAGGAGCCAGGGATCGAACCATCGACCTTCCGTTCAGTAGGGTAACCTGCTCTACCTCCTGAGCTACAGTCACCCCCAGATTATTTCATCAGATTATTTAATCATGCAAAGTTACTCAGCTGGAACTGAGGAGAACACGTCCCTTTTAAGAGGTGTTTAAGTCACTAAAAGAAGCATAAAAACGAAGAAACAATTGAACTGGTTGAAAGCATTTCTGAAAGACTGCACAGCTTCATGTACCGAAGGTTTGTTTGTCTCACCTGCTGCTTGCTCTCGATGACTGCCAGAGCTTCAGCCATCAGTTTCTGGTTGACCCCGCAGAGGTTAGCCACTTTCTTTTGGCATTTATGGTGGACGTTCATGCTGCATTCTGTACAACATCAAACACAATGTAAACTCAGTTGAACACATAAAGAACATTTAAAGCAGTGCAAGATGGCAATATTTACACTGTTATTAGTTATGCAAAAGGTAATGTATCAGCTTTTACTTCGAATGGGGCAATATTAAAATTTATAATGACAATGACAGAAAAAAGCACTTATATGTAAAAAATGTTGCTAAAGAGTCCAATTTCTTTTTCACTTGATACCTTTTTTTCATGTCACACGTTCTTTAATGTTTGCACATGTTCCTTATATAACTGTGCTGTTTCTTAGCAAACTCTCACACATCTACAATAATAATGTTTCCCATTCCTAACCCCTCAGTCAGCTGGCTTGTACTGGAAATATGATTAATTTCACAGGGAGAACTTTATACTTTGCACCTGCTGTGGCAGCTGCGCTGTGTTTCTGTTCAACAGGCCAACACATGCAGCGCATATTTATGCTGGGAAAGGTTTGAACGCCCACTGTTGTCTCAGCTACTGGAAATATATTGAGTAATGCTGTGGATTAAATGATCATATCTATGTGGTGAAAACCATGTTTTATCAAATTTTGTCAAGTTGAATTTTTCAGATCAAGGTAAGGGAGCTCCATAGTTTGCTTGCTGCATGTGTTTCAGAGTGTGTTGATGGTGTTGTGAAGGAGTAATATAGCTGTGCCGAACCAAGAAACCCTTTCGTGGTAACCTGTGAAAGCCACTGCTGCAAAATTCTTTGACGAATGACTCTTTCTTCCTAAAAATCGATGATTCGGGCCTTAAAAGTCCAAAATAAGGAAACATTTGCAATGCAGCGTAAGCCATTTAAAACCCACAGATATCTGCATAATGTTGTCTAGAACATTTAATCTTTTGGCAAAGGGGTTTCCCTGCTGCTCGGCGGTATCTGATCAACTGTGCTGAAAGGCAGCTCCCAGAAAAACGGGACTAATTTTAGAGTGAAGAATTAAAAGACTGAATACCACAGAGCTTGTAACTTCAGTCAAAACTGTGCCATTTTAACTTGCTTTTTGTCACTTAGTCTTGTGTCTGAAAACACAATTTTTGGTAAAGAAGTCAAAATACCTTCATCCAACTAATCCCACATAACCACTCCTCTGTCAAACACACTCAACTGTATAACGAAGCACCAGAAGTTTGGAGGAAATGACATCTGTAAGAATGCCATGACTGGGCCAACCCGACCGAGATCGTACCATTAGGATGCTGGAGCAGGGTGTTGCCAGAGCAATGAGTCCTCTAGACTCAGCTGAGCTATAGTGCTTTATTTTGAATGATCCATCCATGCAACCAAGTCCAGGCTGCCTTAAATTCTTCCAGGGGGAGATACTGACACATTCCCAAACCAGCCTGACCGTGTCCTGGATTGCTGCAGGGTCTCTTCCCAGTATAACATTCCTGAAACGCCTCACGTAGGAGGGGAACAGGAGGCACCCTGGCCAGACGCTTGAACCACCTCAACTGGCTCCTTTTGATGTGGAGGAGTAGAGGCTCTACTCTTAAACGACCATCAGTCTTAGTCTTTAACAGTACGCCAGCATCAGTTTTCCTTAACTCTTAAACCAGGACCTTTCAGTTCCTAAACTGAGCTAGAAATAAATTTAATGGCGTAGTGTTGCGTTATGAAAAATTTCTGTTATGACACTGTATTTGTGGCTTTATGTCTGTGATGTCACTGCTGTGTTTTGTCTTACCCTGCAGACATAAAAAAAAAAGTATAAAATCACACAAAACAAACAAACCAAAACAAAAAACTCCCGCCTCTCACCCTCACATTTGAGCCCCTGCTTGGCGAGCCCCCACAGCAGAGTCCCGCAGTGCTCGCAGAAGGTGGGACTTTTGTAGTTGTAGACTTTAAACCTGTGAGGCATGTCGATCTTGAAGCGCTCCTTGTGGATCTAAAAACACATCGCACACAGATTGACACGGAAGGCGTCAGTAACCAAACACCTCTCATATGTAAACGGCGAGATTTATTTATTGGCGTTAAATTCTCTCATGCTTTCGTACACATGAACTCTCGCTGACATGGAGCTGAGGAGAAGTGAAACGAGGGGAAGAAGATGACATGAGACCGGAACGCCTGGTGTGGTGATACCTTGGCACAAAGCAACTCTTTCATTAGTAAGCATCAGAACCATCAGCTCACACACTTCGCTCTGTGTCACCACTTGTGGAATTTCTGTCGGACTGGAAGAGATGTGCAGCGTCATGAAGCAAATCATGTGAAGCAGACACTCACCATTGTTTCCTTGCTGTTTATGGCTGAACCAGTGCATTTGGCGATAACTTTGTCTATGCATTTTTTGTGGATTGCTGCATTGCACTCTAAAAGACAGAGAATAACCACGTGAGGAAGAGTTACGAAGGCTAATTGGTAGATTACAGGACAATGAACCGACACTCACGTCTGCACTGGTAACCCTGCTTGTTAAGACCCCTGCAGTGGAAAGAAAGAGAGATGAAATGACTGATACGATTGGGAAAAAAACAAGACTAATGTGAAGATTTGTGACTTCTTGGTCTTTTGCATACCAAACAAACTCTTTGCATACAGAGCAGAAGGTTGGCTGAGGAAAGAACGTCGCGCTAAACTCGTGACACTTGACCACGTGAACTTTGGCCTGCTTTATGGCGCCGCGCCGCTGGTGGAGGGTGAACAGACCCTCTCTCTCACGCTCGGACTCCGGGTCTCCGTCTGTGTGACCCACAGCATCTGAAACACGTATTACAACTTTAATTTCAAAGAAGAAAAACAAAACAATGGAAAAAGGTACAGTTTTATTCGGCTTCTGTGGACAGAGTGGTGAGACGCCGCTAAGAACACAGGATTTCACAGCAAAGTTTCAATTTCTCACCTCCTGAGATGTGTTTCTTACTAACAGCAGATTTTATGTTGAAAATCAATCTTTCCTTTTCAGCATTAAAAGCCTAGATTTCTTTCATTAAAGCTTCTTTCACTTACACTCATGTTACAAGGGGTCGCCACAGCAGACAGCCTCACCTATCTGAGTTGACATTAGCTTTGGTTGAAAATTAATTTCATGTTGAATTTTTTAAAATTTCACCTCAGTTGACTGATTATACAATTTGTGTTTATGAACAACTGAGTAGGAACAGCTGTTTTAGTAGCTTGTGAATGCAGATTGTGGACTTTATGTGTACGGTTTACACCGGTTGTTGTTTGCAAACTAACTTTTGGGTTTGGGTCAGGAAAAGACTTGGTTTGGTTAGCTAGCAGCCTTCTGTGGTCACCTGAAGTTTGCGTGCAAGATGCTAACTTGCCGGCATGCACCTGACCACTACTCCACTAAATGCTAGTCAAGGTGTGAAAAGTGCAATGCAAGCTGGACCTTTCACCTACATTTGCATTTTTTGAAGCATGCTGGTCGCTGTGAGCGAAACACGTTCTGTTTCTGATTTGTGTCTTGTTCAAGTTTCACTGCTGCTCGGTGCTCAGTTTGTGAGTGTTTGTTTATTGTCCAGTTAATCTTTACTTTAGTTTTTATTAACAACATCGGAGAAGCGGGCTGGACATTGTTTCCAGGGAATACATTTCATGTTTAAGAATTTTTTAAAATCTTTTTAGCGATTACAAAAAAAAATGTGTTACAGAAAACATTCGTCGAGGGAAGAGTTACAAACGTCCTCCTCTGAGATGCGTTTCTCAGAGTAAATGGCTTCAAACTGTTGCTTATATTTAAAAAGCTGGTTCTGGTGATCAGTCTGTGCACATGGACAGGACACTGTATTAACAGTCAATGAGTGAGCAAATTAGTTGCAAATAAAAAATGTGCATTAATTTCTTTGTTATCAATAAATCTGTTATTTTTTTTGCTTTGTAATCAATGATCTGTTGGGACCTCTGTTGTCTTTTCCACTCAGCTTGTGTTGCAGTTTCTACTGTCATCAACCATCATAGTGTTTGGTATTAGATCAAGCACAGTCGTCATGTATGACTAAAAACTGACTGACCAAAGCTCAGTATGACTTCCATGTGTTCTAAGAGATCAAACATGCAGAAAATGATCCTAAAATGTTGAATTATTCCTTTAAAACTGCTTTAAACACTGCATGTGACTTTGAATCAGCTCAAAATGTTAAATTTCTATCATTATCCTTCAGTTAGAGACAGGAAGACACCAGTATGTGTTTGCTCGTTGGAGGAAGTGTACCCATCACTATGCCACCTGTTGTTCCCTGCAGTGATTTCCTGTTTGCTTGGTCTATATTTACAGACACACGAGACAGCTTCTTACTTCTGAGTCTCAGTGCTTGGCATGGTGTTAATGTCAGGAAGGAACCAGTGAAAGCACAAAGCGCCCGCACAACCAGCTTACAGCCAGCAGGGGGCAGACGGTCAAAACTCTTATTTTTAGCTTAAGAAAATCTAATTATGATGAGACACTTACGGGTGCGCCTTCGACAATGAACATTCACAGTCACTTTTCTGTATTTTTACACCTACTTGATTATTAATAATCCTCTAGGACACAGTAGCTGGCTGCCAGCTACTTGTCTGGCCACACAAAAGTGATGAGCACGCCACTTTCGGCATTTATACAGGAATCTCATTAATACTGAGAATAGAAAGGGAAAAACAGGGTAAGACAGAAGTTAAAACAACAAAACATAAAACAACTGGTTTCTGTATTTTTAACACACCTGCCTATTTACTCATAAAAACCTTCAAATAAATACTAATTTAGTGCATATTAAAGTTTAGCGGACCTATGTGCATAATTCTAGAAGTGAAGCTGATCAACTCTGAGGAGCACATAAAGAGGGACCAGGTGAGAATTTCACAATAATGCAAGAAGGCTCTCTGTGAATTCAGTATATTTTGAAATGATCATTCTCATCGTTTCTAATTTTATATTATCACGTCACTCTTACATTCAGACAAGCAAAGACTAAAAAGGTGAGTTTTTTCTGATATCGGGCTCCTTTTAGGTCTTTCATGATCAAACTTACCTGTCACTTTTTTTATACAAAAGTTGGTGCTCTGACACACACAACAGCCGGTAAATGGTAACTGTCTCCTTTTTAGAGACCTACACAGCTGGCAGAGGCGTAATTTACAGGTTTAATAGCCAGGAGACTTTGTCTCGTGTCCCACAGGCACCCTTTGTTTTCCACTTTCCTTGCTTTTTGTTGTGGTTAATTACAGAATAATGCTGACATAAATGGAAAAAATATGCAATTAACTTTTGGTTTTCAAAATAATAGATATTTTTCAGGGTAACAAGTTAAAATGATTTGATTTTGTTGTTATTCTTCCTCGTGGATCATAGAAGGAACGGTGTGAACAGGTTTTAGACTGGGATTTGGCAGGTGGGGGTACATTAACAGTCTGTACAGACTGTGATCAGCTGTTCTGTGATGCTACACCCAAACTCAATGCTCTTTGTGGATATAACCAACTGAATTCAACAAGATATAAGCAGATGTTACAGAAGCTATATGGCTGATTTCCAGCCCGTAGAGACGAGTGAGCTCGTGCAGCAGTCTGGAGCCATCTTTCATTTTGTATATTTTGCTATGAAAACAGGAAATAGGTGTAGAGATTTACTGAAATGTGTGTAAACCTACACGGCAACACAGTGTAATAGGAAAACAGTTTTTAAAATGTTAACAAGTGTTAACAAGTTTTTTTTAATGCAGGTGTGTTTTTACTGCATTGGCAGTGTGTTAGGGACTATTGTCATGCTGAAAAATGAAGCTGTTGCCAATCAGACACTTTCCAGGTGGTACTGCATTGTCAAGTTACAAGGATTGGACTGAAAAAGGGTGAAAAAGTAGCTAAAGACCAACTTTGGAAGACCTTCAGAAATACTACAGATCAATCACTCAAAACAATATAAAAAAATCACAAAAAAGTTTGGCTTGTTGGAAAAGATCAAGAAATGAGGGGTGGCTCAAAAAGTTTGCACAAGACTGTATAAACTGTAGAGTTCAGAGACTGAATCTAATCAGCTTAAATACAGCTTGACGTCTGCTACCCTTAATGTAACCAGTCCAACATAGTGCATCACTGCAAACTTTACCACAATACCACAAACTAACACGTGTAGCGTGCGCTAAACAGTTTCCATGCAACCACTGAATAACAAAAAAATAGTAGAATAGAACTTCTGCAAGAAACTTCTATTTTTTTAATGAAAACAAAATTCAGCAGCACATGATTAATACATCCAGTATCTCAGTATTTAAATCTGGTACGGTCTCCATCAATCATGCAGGATTTACATTTCCCATTTATAAACTTTCACTTGCTGAGCAGTCCTCATTTCTGAAAATAATCTTGTATCTTACTCTTCCTTCCTCTCTTTCTTATATGCTTTTCCTTCTTTCAGTGTTGCACATTAATTTTTTCTCTCTCTCTAGGAAGTAAAGCATCGCTGTCTTTAGCTTACAGACACATTGCTGTGTGGAAAACTGCACAAAAACAGTTTATCGGCTGATATTTGTTGAGTTGTTTGAAAAGTCGCAAACTCCATTAATGCTCACTGCTCTGCTTCTTCTGCCACTAGTGAGATTCTTTGATACTGCAACCACAATCTTGCCTCTCCACTATGAAGGCATCACAGGGATAACACAAACCATGACTTTTACATGTAAGCGGTCCTGAGATGCCATTAATTTCATGCACTAGGTTGGTTATTAGCTATAATTAACCATGATTTGAAGGGATTCCCATTTTAAACCCTGCATAATACAGATGTGGGCATCTATAAGCACTGAGCCTGTTAAGTCATTAGTTGGCACGCAGTTTGAACACACTGTCTCTGTAATGACAGACGACTGACTATGTAAAACCTTTTTTGCTTCCACTCACCTGTTAGATTCAGAAACTAAAAACTAGAGTCAGGAAAAGGTCACAATTTAAAATTGGTCTCTTCACACCCCGCTTACTGACAAAAGATGAGCTAGTAGTGACCATACTCACCACAACTGATATAATCCAGCGTGTCGGGGCAGACGCTTAAGGACAGGTTGTGTAAACAAACCACACTAGCGGTTTTGACAAACGGGCACTAATTGCCCCAGGGGTGAGGATGAGATGTTTCGCATCACTTATAGATTAGTCAGATTTTGAAATCCCTGGACTTTAAGGGCTGAAATGGTTTTTCTTCCCGTGTTTAAATCTTTCTACACAGTCGAACCACGTCACATGTAAATCTGAGTTTAAGCATTAAACCCACAGGCGACAATACTAGGCAACACTTCTAAAGCTCGTCCTTTGTGCTTCTGGTTTCTCTGTCCTGTCTTGTTAGTGCACAACACCAGAGGAGTTGCTGTTAGGCTGCTTCCTGAGACTACAGCACTGTGTGTGTGCCAGAGACAATTATGTAAACCACATAAGAACAAGTGGCTCTCACTGTAATTTTATCAGACTTTTGTGAGGCAGTTCTTCTTATTTGGCTGCGAATTCAGTAAATAACTACCGAGGGACAGCAAGCTGAGGTTTGAAGGTCTGATTCACTCACCACTTTTCTCCAGATAATATCTAGCCTCCATGAGCATGCGTCCCTGCGGCTTCAGCTCCAACTGAGAGAAAAAGAAACGAAGAACAAAGGGAGACAGAAACACACAAAAAGAGATATTTTAGGAAAGAAATTCATGAGAAAATGACAAAATGAAAAGGGAAGGATGTGAATTCAGGAGGATGATGCATATACGTCATGCTCCTTAGAGGCAGTGACACATGCAGACAGTCTGGCAACAACACACACGCATAAAGAACGGGCTGAAGGAGCGTATTTGATTAGTTTGGTTTAAGAGATCATGCCGTGAAATGTTGTGTAGTGCCACTCACAACCGAATCTGTCCAGGAAGTGATCTCTTGCTCTCTCTAACAAAAAAAAAAACTCAGCAGATTTCACCGAATGACCTGCATCTAATTAAAAGAACAGCTTAGCCCAAATCCATGGCCCCAAAACAATCAGCAAATCTTATGTTGGACAGTTTCTTGGAGGAACTATTTTCTTTCTAGTTAACTACAGAAGTACAAGACGTAGGGGCGCATCTACCCGTGAAAAAAAGCATCATGCTTGTGACAGCTGTGACGAGATGAAGACATTTATGAAGTCCTGCCTCGGCTGAGTTGTAATGTTAGTTCTTCACGCTTCCTTTGGTTGGCAGATGTAGTACTCAGCTAAACAAAAGAGTCTATTTGGATACAAGCCTGCGGGAAAATCAAGCAGCAACCTTGGGGAAAAAGACACATGTAAAAAGAACAAAAACAAAAAAACCCACCTAAGCGATCCCTCTAATGGCCACTTGAGGCTCACTCTAAAAGTGAGCCAGTCCCCATATCATCTATTGATGGTTTCTTTCTTTATAAAAACTGCACAGATGGTGACTTCTTTTTTATAACTCAGTCATTTGGATGCTGTTAAATCTTAAACTTTGGGGTGCAGCATCTTTGAATGACAGGTGCGTGTCAACAGCATGGTGTTGCGTCCCAGGCCACACCTCAGCGAATTCAGGTTGATGCAATTGGGGAAATGAAATAAAACTATCTCACAAATAACATGGCTCCAGCAAGGTTTTGTTTGGTGAAAAATTATAATTCATATTAATCCCACTTAAGCGTCAATTACATGACCTCTCAGCAACCAAGTAGTGAAAAATTCAACCAGTTGTTGTGAGAGTTTGGCTGCTGTTGCTAGGTAAAATTGGTCACAGCAAGGTACATTTTGTGTTTACATTGGCCACTAGTAGATTGCAGCAGTGCCCAAAGTTTGGTGGCTTCTCTGTAAACTGTTGCTAAACTTTGAAGAGTGTGATGCAAACCAGAAACTGAGACCATTCACGTTCAAAGTAAAGCCTGCACCCCTTTGAACCATGTTGGTTTTTGCAATATGAAACAACTTTTACTTTGAAGGTGAACAGTCTTCATTTGGTTTTTTTTTTCAGGTTTCTCTACTACTCAGTGATTAGTTAGCAAGTGTTTGCAGACAAGTTGGTGTCGTCCATGCAGAATATGGATGACTGTGCCAGTATTCTATCAACTGAAACCCAAGGAGACTCTTTTCAACTGATTTCACCAAAAACATCAACTTCCAACAACCACATGCAAACTGGTCAGGAAACACACATTTTTTCCTAACAACTGGAGGCTGCCCCTGAGTGGGTTACTGAATTGTCTCTAGGCCTGTGTGGCCAACGGATGGGCAAGTTTATGGATACAGTTTGCTAACCAAGCTAGCTGTGTTGGTTGATAATATAGCACTTTCTCCTCTTGGTCAAGTATAGATGCTTCTGGCGCTTGAAACACCTGCCCCCCCCCCAAACAAAAAAAAAAAAAAAGCCAAATACAGTAAAAAAACAACTCACCTATGACCCAAACACAAAGCTAACAAAAAGCAACGTTCAGGAACCAACGGATAATGTGATGGTGGATTATATCAGTCATATATCTATATATAGTCTACAGTAGAAACCTGTAAACATTTCCCAAGAGAGTAAACCTGTTAATGTTTTCCATAAAAGAAGCTGGATTTTGCTGCATGATAAGGGTTTATTTCTTATAATGATACCATTGTGATGTAGCCTTCTTTTCTCATATTGAGAGCAGTTATGATGCCAATAATTATGTCACAATCATAATATGAT